TGAACAAGTACGACGAGACAAAGAATCGACACTACTCAACAGCTCACTGTTTTTTGGCACAAGCTGTACGACTCGTGCAGTCTGTTTACGCAACAATCGATAGTTTTGAACCTTGTCTCGTCTCATACATGAAATGATGGCATCTCAAACGTATTCATCTAAGATGTTTAAATATGGACTATTTCGTGATCATTTTTTGAAGTCGATGAAATCAATAAAATGCTGTTGATACTAAGCTTTAGAAACGTTGTCTGTAAGAGGACGACCATTGTCTTGTTAAAAAATGACATTGTCATTCACTATTTGCTTTGTTTGAATTATTTTGTATTATTCAAAAAACATCCAGCTTTGTAACACTATTATAGGATGCTACAAAGGATCTCATGATTTACACTGTGGTGTTTCGTTTTTGTTTCTGTGATATACGTTTGTTAGACACTAGCTCCCGGACAGTTGCACTACAGCCATCTGTGTTATATGAAAAATTCGAGATAATTTTTGACGAGTTACAGATTATTTTAAGCTAAGAATTAGCTAAAATAGTTATAAATCAGCATAAAATTCGAAAAGTAATGAGAAATTCACGAGTCAATTCGGAAATTATTATCAATCTCACTCAATGTTCATCATAGTATGAATGAGTAGAAGTATGATAAGAGTGTGAGTTTTCTCTCAACCCATACTTACATCTACACTCACCCCAACTGACATCCATATCCCACATCTCCCTTCACCCTTTTTAGCTCAGCGTCTTTGACTCTGAAATGTGGAACTCAATATCTTCTTTAGCGTTACTAAACCAATACAAAATACTTACAATAAAAATTCTACTGTAGACGAAAGGTGCTTTCAAAGATAATCGATCAGTAGAAAAAGAATTTGTCGAATCATTTTTTGCATTTTGAACAGAGCTTTTTTCTTTGTTTTAGGAACACTCCATTTTAGTTTGCACTGTTGCTATTCGCTCTTTATTTTTCAATTTTTCATTTCGTTTTCTTTATTTAACATTTTTATTATTAATATTGAATTAAATGGGAAATAAGGCTTTTGTAAATATGCGTTATATCTACAGCAGCACATTTTGAGCCAGTTCTATAGATTTCAATCAATTCACATATCCTGATATTGTTATTTTCCAAAGTTATAACTTGATCAATTTATGTTTTTTATTTTAATCATATGCCAAAACTATGGAGAATTAATGCGTCAATATCAATCGTCGGTGATATCTGAAATATGAAGTTTTATATACGTAAAACTCAAAAACTTCACTGTTGAAAACATTCACAATACTATTCTAACCATTCGAAGTTCAACGAGAAAAGTCTAAGTGTTCTCGTTAATGTCGTTCAGAGATTTTTTCGGTTGCTAAGAAACTCTGAGAAAGGAATGTGGCATCGGTTGTCCTCGATTTCTAAAGTCTGTAATGACGAGCGGGGAAAGTACAATGGGAAGGGAGAGTTGCAAAACTTTGACTTAAAATTTACACCGACTATTTTCTTCGAAAGTATATATGGATTCCTAAAAAATAAGATTTGCCTTTGAAACCAAAACTATCGTTCAAGTTATATAACAAAGACCAAATCGAACCGAGTTTGACTGATTCGGGTTCAGCTTGGTTCGTTTTCGATTTGTGTGATATAAAATGTTTCTCATGAAATATTTGTATTTCTGACGACTAACGCTTTGAAAGAGACTTCTCTTATTTAACTCGTATTGTCTTGCGTATATTTCTTAATTTGATATTTAAAAAAAAGAAATAATAACATGACAATGATAAAAGAAGAGAAAAAAAATTAATTATTTTAATCTACGAAGAACTTTGTCTAACATAGACTTCACTCAAACTTTTTATCGTTATGACGCATCGGGATGGGTGTGGGTGTTATCTCAAGATATATCTGTTTGAATGCTCACATTGAACGTCCAGTGATACGTACATCCATACCCACTACCACGCCGACATCCGTCATTCACATGATTATTTCGGTACTCTATTCAATATAAGCTGTTGTTGTACCACTTTATATATTATGACTTATTACGGTTTTTATTAGATATATTATTATACAAACTTAAGAATTAATCGTTGACCACGATGTAATTTAGGTATTAATGAGCTATTCTTGTGTATTGATATGAATTATATTACACAATAATTAATCTAATATAAAAAAAAAACATTGAATAATCCGACAGTAAAGAAACCATTCAAAATACTATGTCATTTCATTTGATTTATCAAGACTGTCATGAATCATTCGATATTTATTTAAAGTCATTTTTATAGAAGTAAGTGTCAACTCTCCTTTATTTTAAAAAATACATATTGGAAAAAAGAAAATGTCTTTACAACCGTTTTTCCTGACATAAACAATATTGAAAACAATTTGATGATACTGAACAATGTCCTGATGCATGGCCTGCTTTAATACATAAATTCTTGCAATCATCATTCTCTTTATGTGTTACTTCATTTGCATTATCAACTTGCGTGCATTTTGAATGTTCATTGTGTAAACACGTATTAGCAAATACAGTCGATTTTTGTAATATTAATAAGAAAGTAAAGCAGAGTATTAAAAAAGGAATCAATCGATTCATTATTTTATCGTATATATATATATCTAAAAACCAAAGATCAAGTAAAACAGCAAACAAGAAAATATTCTTTAATCAAACTATTAGCTTCTTACTATAAATACAAGCTTTTATCGAATTCAAACTACGCTTATATATACGTTCGTTATCAATTTCAAAAATTATCAAATGGCCTTCTGAATAAACAGAGATCAAAAAGAAAATGCGCACATGTCATATCTATCATAGAAAAAAAGAATACAAAGAGTGCAAATCGATAATAAACGTGACCAAGTTTAAAAAATTGAGAAATGAAATCTAATCTTTACTTTTTTTAAATTGATTCAAATAATGAACTCACTTCAGAATAAAAAAGAAAGAACTGTAGTGCAGCAAAAATTCCGTAGTATATAGACGCTTTTAGTATTTATCTTAACCGCAGAGGTTCGGTCGGTTTACAAACTATTTGAGAATCGCTACGCAGTTAACCAACAAAACATTAACTAATCAAATATAAAACCGATTAATGTGATGGTTTTCCATTGAATACCTTAACATAGCATGCTGTGAAGAAAAAAAACAAATGAAAAAGTTAAATACTGTCTATTCGCTCATTTGACGTATTTAAAAAGTGTTGATGTTTATCGTTTGTCTTTAGAAGGTACTGTTTGGATACAAAAAAAAATATTCGTCTATACTAATCACAAAATAAAGCTGTTTACGTTAAAAAACCTGTTGTTCATATATTTTCTATAAATGTATCTGTAACTAATCAAAAAAATGATATAATTACGAATAAAAAGTTACGATTAAATGAACTGTTCTTTCAAATAAAACGAAATGATCAAATTCCATTTGCACCATACATTAATATATCTAGTCTGTATAAAACCTACATTTATCATTGTTTATCTCAATTGTTATCATCAAATATTATTTCCTAATGCTTTTAATAATCAAGATCAATTAAATGAATTATTCAATAATAATTGAAACAATAACAAGAGAATTTCGCCAGGCTTTGTTACTAGATTATACTGAATACATAAAGTCTCAAAATAATGAACTGTTTTAACTTTACAGTCAGAAGAAATGATATTTAATTAATCTCGAGCAAACAAAGATTGAATTGAATCAGAACTACCAACATGAAGAATGAAACTTATTTGTAATCCATCAATTACTGTTCCGTATGTTGATAGAGAATCAAAAGAATGTCGATCTCATAGTAAATTTATTCAGTGGTATGATTGTGAAATATTAGCTCAATTAATTGATACATTACTTCGTTTCGAACAATTTTGTTTTTTGACCAACTTTAATCATCGATTTATTCTTATCATTATTTCTAACAATTAACTATGTATTCATAATTAAGAGAATACCTTTTATATTTACGTAAGAAAAGCAAATATAGATCTGAATGTAGTATTTTATAGCAGCTCTCGAAACCAGGCGTCTAGTTGAGGATCAGGATCGGTCCCACTCAAAATGACATCATTAAATGTATATTTCTTTCACAAAAAAAGGATTGCTACGTAATGGAATTTGACGATCACTGCAGTCATTTATCAGATAATTGTAAGAAGTTTATTATCGGAATGATCATGAGTTGAATAAGATCAGACAATTTTAATCCTTAAAAAATTGTTGGCGCAATCTTTGTGAGAATAAAATGTGAAACGCAATGTAACTTTTGTTGCTAATAAATTGCAATATCTTTATTCTATCTATTTTCGCATACATTGTTTCATCATCATTATTTAATCTTTAAGGGCTGTATTGGGAAAGTAGGATGTAGGTGTAGTGGTGCGTATGGATGCAGATGTTGGTGGATGTTTGATGTAGGCATTCATACAGATATATCTCGAGACAACACCCATACCCTAATTTGAACAAACGGTGGGTACGGCTGATTTCTGTATCCTTTCAGGAAAAGAATGCATATCCCTGGTGCATGAATCATCATACGTAGGAGTATCGTTTTAAAAGTTTATGAACACGACAGTTTTAATCGGAATTGAATAAGTATTTATGGCTAATTGAGAAAAATTCTCCCAATCATTCTATTGTGAATTTCTTTAGGTTTTCCTTTGTCTGTTTAATATTATCTTGATATTTTTCAATATATAAACGATTCGGTGATACCATTTGTAATTTCAATTCGATGTGCATTTTCATAAAACTCCAGCGCTTGTTCATAACTCTTCATTTTATTGAAAATATTTCCAATTGTATAATATGTTAATGAAGTAAATTTTTTAGTTTGTGAAACATTACTAGATGAGATATCAATTAGATTATTTTTATTATAATAAATTTGATCAAGAATTTCATAAATATTTTCAAGATTGGTATCGTCAGCAGGCAAAAACTTCAATCCTATTTCAATTGCTTTTTCATAATTTTCGAGTGATTTATCATAATCTTTCTTTTGTGAAATACATTGCGCCTGCATCACTGTATAATGTTATGAGATTTTCATAATGATTTGATAAATGTTCAGAAGCTATTTTAAGTGCCATTTCATTTATTTTGAATGCATCAACAAATTCTGACAATTGATAATATGTCATACTAAGATTTTGATAATTAACTACTAAATCGGAATAATTAGATTGTAATGTTGTTAAACGAATATCCAGTTCTTTACGATAATATTCTAATTTTTTCTAATAATTTTGTTCGATGTCACAAATTCGAGCAATATGATATGTTACAGCAAGTTGCAGATGGTTTGATCCAAGTACTACTCAATATCAAGCGTTTGTTGAAAATTTTGCAACAGCTAATTCATAATGTTATAGATAATAATGTATCATTCCTACGGTGTGATAAGTTTTTGATAATTCTAAACGATTTTCATATGATATCTCTTTCATAATATCAATCTTTTCTGAATAAGCATTTAGAACATCTAGAAAATGATTCTGTTTTAAATGTATATCAGCTATGATATCATATGATGCGATAGATGACTCATAATCTTTAGGACAATGTTTCAGCGATTGATTGGCATTAAACAGAGCTTTCTCATAGTTTTCTTCTCTTAAATAAACTCCCGCTATATTATTGTATATTATTGCTAGATCTTCTGATTGTTCATGAGTATATTGTGATTGAATTTCTAATGCTTTAGTAAAGTAAACCAATGCATCGACTAAATTTTCCTGTTCATAAAATGTAAATCCAATATTATAAAACGTTTTTGCGAATTTATAATCATTTAATGGTATATGATTACTTTGAACTTCAAGTGCTTTTCTATAATTAATCATGGCATCATGATATTCTTTGAGTTTTCTGTAAGTATGACCTATTTTATTATATGTATCGACTTGATCTAAATAATTTGTTTCGAAATATTTCATTTGTATATTAAGAACGATCTTGAAATATTTTAATGCTTCTTTATATTTTTGTTCATCAAAATAAATGGCTCCCATATTACTATAAGTTGTTACTTGATTGCGATGAAATCTTGTTAATAGATTTGAATGAATTTCAATTGTTTTTTCATAATATCTCAATGCTTCTCGATAGTTACGTTGACTTTGATAATTAAATCCTATAGACGAAAATATTATTGCTGTTTCAAGCTGATTTTCTGGTTTTAAAGGAATTTGTAATGCTTTTTCAAAATTTTTCATTGATTCTAAATAATTACCTTGTTTACTATAAGCTAGTCCTAAACAGTTGTATGTTATATGTATTTTATTCTCTGTTTGAGGTAACATTTTCAATTGAATCTTGAGTACTTTTTCATAGTTTTCGATTGTAAAATAAATTTCTCCAATAGCATCATAAGTCGATTGAAGATCAGAATGATCATCTTTATATAGTGTTAACATAATTTCGAGAGAATCTTCATAGTATTTCAATGCTTCACTATGGTTATTTAATTTTAAGTAAATTGTGCCATAAGTAACATAGGTTGTAGCTAAATCAGGATGTTTCTTGGGTAATAATTTTGATTGTATATCATGTGTTCTTTTACAATATTCAAGTGCTTTGTCATAATTTTCTTTGTCACAATAAATTGCTGCAATACTATTGAATGATTTTGCAAGATCTACATGATTTTCTGAAAGAAATTTTGATTGTATATCAATTACTTCTTTAAAATAATCAAATGCTTTATCAAATTGACCAATTTTATAATAAGTATCCCCAATATTGTGATAAACAGATGCAACATTGGGATGATCTTTTCCTAAGTTATTTAAATATACTTCACGAGCTTTTTCATAATTATTCAATGCTTCACCATAATGACGTTTATTTCTATATAATAAAGCAATATTATTATATGTTGTTCCAATTTTATCATGATTCGATGGTAAAAATTTGATCTCAAGTTCTAATGCCTTCCTATAATGGAATAATGCTTCGTCATTATTATCTAATTCGGTATAAAGCAATGCAATATTATTATATATTGCAGCTAGTTTTGGATCTGAATCATCTAAGGATAGTTTAATTACTAGTATTTTTTTTTTATAATTTTCTAATGAATTTCTATAATCAGCTTTATGTCTATATATCATTGCAAGCTTATTGTATGTTGAAATCATAACTTGACTATTTGATGATACATATTTCAATTTAATATATTGTGCTTTTTTCAAATATTCTATTCCTTCATCATGTTTACTTAATTAAGCGTTTAATAATCCAATAGAATCATATGTTAGAGCAAGATAAATGTGAGGATTCGGTTGTAAATCAGTTGCTATAGAGAGGGCTTTGTCATAAAATTCTGATGCCGTAGAGTAATTGCCTCTATTTAAATAAGCATCTCCTATATTAATATAAATTAATAATATATAATCATGGTTTGGTGGTAATTGTCCAAGTAAAATTCTGTTATATTTTTCAGCTCTATTATAATCGCCCATGAAAAACAGAGTGTGGTACCTAAATGAGCGATTGTGGGTTTTTCACCAACTATTTCCTCTAACTTATTCATAACATATTGTAGTTCAACATTTGTTTGGTTCTCTAATGATAATTCAACAGACCAGAATGTATCAGTAACTTGTTCAACAAGATCAACTCGAAATACAGTACCAATAGTAAATAAGATTTCTTCTTCTTGACTAAAATTGCTCATATCTTGAATGGTAGCAAATTCATGATCATTATCAATTGAATTATTGATTTTAATTGTAAAAACAACCTTCGGATAATTAAATGTCCCACTATCGACAAATTCTTCGGCAATCACATAGGTTTTACTTGTTGAAAAAAAAAACTATTTACCAAAATAAGACCATTTTGATTTTCTTCTAATATTCTAATTTCATTTATGGACATTTGTTGCGCACGATAGACTTGTTAGCTGATTCGAGCATTGACAATGTAATTGGCTCAATTGATAATGAAGATCGGTAATAAAAAACCGAAATTCGTATATAATATCAATATTTTCTGTACGAAGTGCTCGATTTAATAAACGATAAACAAAACTATCTTGACAATACCATTCAACAGCTTTATTCGGATTATATTCTGAAGAAAACTTTTCGATTTGTTCTGTTCTACTTGTATTACCTTTATATTGTTTTCGACATGCATTTATCATTTCATCCTTAGCATGTTCATTATGTTTCAAATGAATCAAAATTCCAATTAATAATTGAAACCACATAAAAGATGTACTTTGTCTATTTAAATCTGTAATAGATTTTTGTTTTGCATTTTCGCTCAATACACTTATTGGTAAAAAATTTCGTAGCTGTAAATTAACATCTGATATTAACTTAGAATACAGTAAATTTTTTTCATTGAAAACACCTTGTATTTTAGCTTTATATTGATTTGACCATACTTCATGTTTTGTTTTATCATAACAAAATATATAAATTGATACAATTTTCGGTGATTGATATATGTCTGGTATAATTTTCTCACCTAATGGACCTGAAACAATAAAAACAATTTTTTCATCTGTTCTAATGGAATTAATATAATTTATACATTTATCAATATTATCATATGCATGTAAGTCATTAATAATAGAACGTAATGCATTCATCATTTCTAAACAGTCATCAGTCTTATGAATATTAGAATCAAGCCATATAATAGACATTTCTTCGAGATTTTCATCATTAATCAAATGAAATTCTTCTGTTAAAGAAAAATTTAATTGTCGTATAGAACAGTTGGTATCGGTGGTTAGTGTTTCAGTCATAATTCAATATTTTCACGCGAACCACGTTGTCTTGATATCTACAAATAAGAATTAGGTACGCTCGATTAATTAAGCGAACTTAAACGTTACTAAACTGATTCAGTCAGCTTAATAAATTTGAAGAAAAATAAATGCTATCGCCAACTATCTATATGTACGAAAACGTACGAGGAAATCTCATCTTTGGTTCATAAATAGGACATGATGAAAGTAATTGAGACTTTATTAGCTTCATGCCTGCGTCCTTTGTACTCATAGCCATAACTATTTCGTTCAATTTTGATGATAGTAAGTCTTAAAACTGCTCGACGGTTTCATAAAATTGGTACTATTAGTAATGACTATGTATTGCGAAATCCACTAAAGCAACTATCCCATTATTCCAAGTACTCAGTAGATCTATATACTCGTTATAACATGTCGAATTTCTAAGATAATTCGATTATGAAAACTTATCTTCCGATATATTACGATTTTTTGAAAACTAAATACTTTCCAAAATTTCGATTCATTTCAATGTAACTCTTTAGGATAATCTGATGAATGTAACGCTTAACTCACTGCTATGTCGAAATGGGCACAATTTGAATAACCTATCATATGTATAAAACAGAGTAGAAACCCTCTGGTATATTTTGGATTCTAAGAATACACAGATTCCACAATTTTGAAAAGTATTGGCATTATCTTATAGTGCAAGCTAATTCAAATTTTACGATTAAAAATTGCTTGTGAAATTTTCAGTGTTTCATGTAAAGATGCTAATGGCAAACTATAAATAATCGGAAGAAAAACTATTTCATTGTCGAACTTTTACGTTTGTTTTAGAATGCTTTCTCATCTTACACAATTCTAAATCAGCACTTCACCAATACCAACCATTCTCCATAATAAACTAGTTTTGAGATGTTTTTGTTGACAAAACCGACGAGAGTGCACACAACGTGACTCCTTTATCGGTCGGATACTCAGATATGAACCAGATAGCTGAAAGATATTCGAAGAGAAAGTGAGATAATTATATTTAAAAACATACAAAACCCTACTGCATAAATAGAGTGTAAATGTGGGTGGGTGTGTGGGTATGGGTGAGGTGTAGGGTGTGGCTTTCATTCTTCTTTGCATCTTACCCATGCCCTCATTTGAAATCATTGCTGGACGAAGAAGTTAGTGAATATAGAATCAGAAACGAACCCTTGATTCAATTCAGAACCAGATGATATTCCTAAACAGGTCGATAGTATGACGAAAGAACTCATGCTTCTCTCATCTGTCTATGCAATATATTTAGATTGTGTCAGACTTGTTTGAAAATATTAAATAAACATATCTAGAATTCACTTCTATCACATTATCAGTAAAATCAAATACATTTTGAAAAATTTATTTGTAATATTATTAGCACTACTTGCATTATTTATTTATGATTCAACTGATCCA